CCCCTCCTCCTCCTCCTCCTCCTCCTCCTTCTCCTCCTCCTCCTCCTCCTCCTCCTCCTCTTGTTCCCGACCCCCCAAAAAACGTTCAAAACATCCCAAAGCCGTGAGTTGGCAGCGCGCGTGGGCGACGAGGCGTTTTCCACGGCGGCTCAGCTTCGCGAAGGTTCGCTTGGGCGGGTGTGCCGGGCGAGCTAAGCTCGCCCGTGTGCCGCGCGGGTCTAGGCCGCCTTGGAAGACGCCCCATTTGACTTCGAAATTCGCCCATCCCGGATAGGAGGCGCCGCCCAAGCGCAGCCCAGGAGGAGGAACAGGAAAACGACGAGGAGGGAGGGGGGAAGGACGAAGATTGTCGGTTTCTGGAACCCTGGGGGGCAGCAGTCGGCCCCTGGAGGCCTCGGAGGCAGCGCGGGGCTGCCCCAAGGGGCCGTCAACGCCGCCGCTGCTGCGAGGATGTCCCAGGCAAAACCGCAGAGCAGAGAAACATCGATGCCGCGTTCCAGAGGCATGGAGAACAGCAATGGGGCCACGGGTGCCTGGGGGGCAGCGAAAAAGAATTGGTCGGGCCTCGAAAAATTGTTTTTCGGTTTCTCGTTGCCTGGGAGGCAACAGTGAACCCTGGAGGCCTGGGGGGCGGCAGGGCAGCAGCCCCGGCGGCGGTGCCGGGCAGGTGCTGGGGAGGGGGTTGCCCTCAAAAGAGCTGGGTGCTCCCCATGGCTCACAAAGGCTCTGGCCCGTTTCACTTCAAGACATCCTCCTGGCCCAGGGCTACTATGAGATGCCTTGACTTGAGGTGCTCTTGCCCGTGTCGCTTGAGATACCTAAGAACTCTGGGTTCCAAGAATTGGCCCGTGAGGTGCTCAGGCCCGCGTTCCCTGATACATCCTCAGATGCGTGCCCGGGCTCCGATATGCGCTGACCTGAGGCACTTTGGCGAGTTCGCTGCTCGGGGCGTCTTGGGGCCATCTCAAGTAACTGCTGTCTCGGGGCGTCCTGGGGCGATTTCTACTCACGGCTGTCTCGGGTGGGTTCTGGGGCCCGCGAACGCGCGCGCGTGCGCGCGCACGCGCGCACGCACGCGCATATGTGAACACATTTGTTACATATTACACGCAGATATACAAAGTGTTTGCTTGGGATGGTTTCCCGCTGCTTGAGGTTGTTTTATTTTGTTGTTCAGTGTTTCCCGCCATTGTGATCTTTCGCTGTAAGACTTCGGCCTTGAAGCCGCCAGATTCCTAAAACAGCCCTGCAGCCTGGCCCCCAGCCGAGCCCTGCAGCTAAGCTCCCCAGAATTCCCCAACGCTGGGCTCCCGAAGCATACCCGAAGCCTCTCCCCTAGAACATCCTTGAAGCATGGCCCCCGAACAGTTGTAAAGCTCGGCCCCTTAGTTGTCCGGTGCTGTATGGAAGTTCTCTGGGCGTCCTTCGCCATTTCTTCGCAGCGCGTTGGCTCGTGTTCGAGTTTCTTCGGGCAACTCGGCTATCAGCTTGCAGTTTTATTCCAGTACCCCATGGATCTCCATGCTTCCGCTGGTGCTCATGTCCATGGCTCGGCTTTGTCAGAGGGAGATGTAGGAACGTCAGGTCCAGCGATGTCCGTGGCTGCGCCCGATTCAGAACAGCCACAGCCAGCGGGCGCGCATGGAAACCGAGCGCCCACAACGCCTCCGCAGTCAGGACATGCGAAGAAGAGCTTCGAGAAGTCAGAGTGGGGCGCGGAGTGGAAGGACTGGGTTGAGCAAGAGAGCGCCGAGGAGGGTGCGTTCGACGACGTTGCGTGCTGCTACGACGCCAAGTGGAGCTGGGGCGGGACGAGCAAGGCGGACGACTGGAGCTTCTCTGGGTGGGGTTCGCGTCCGAGCACCACGAAAGAGGCACGCGGCGGCAACGAGGCTAGCAACGAGACCGACTGGAGCGAGACGCAGCAGTGGGCAGCACAGACGTGGGATGACGGGGCGGCATGGTCGGGGGCGGGCATCGGCAGCGGTTGGAGCGATGGTTCCCATTCCGAGTGGACCAGGTGGTCGAGAGATGGCAATGCGGACGAGGGTGGCGCCGTCGACGTGTCGCCCGCGAGTTGGGAGGGTGACGCTCGGCATCGGAACTACTGGGAAGAGCGTGTCCCTTCGGAGGGGCGCGAAGAATGGTCGAGCTCTGCTTCCAGGGACGCGGCGCCGTGGTCGGTAGCACCAAAACCGCGCTGGGGCTGGCATGACGACGAATGGGGCGATGGGCAAAGACAGCAGAGCGGTTGGCGAGACACGTGCGGCGGCATGGACAACGTTTTCCCGAGTGGTGCTGGTATATTGGCACTGATTGATGAGCTTGCCGTGGACACCATTCTGAACGGTGTGCTCGTGGGGAAGTCGATCGCCGTGGGGGCTGTGCCCACCCAAAGCAAGCAGACTACGCCCCTGCACAAGGCCTGGGTGTTCGACGGCGAGACATTGGGCGAACTTGTCGCGTGGGGTGCGCATGCTGTGGAGATGGAGCAGGCTCTTTCGCGCATTCCCAGCGGCAGCGTTGTCGCTATCAGCCCCGTGACGGCATCAGGCAATGGCTACGCCTTTGAGCTCCGCAGCCGCCCTCGCATCCGGGCGGAGGGCAAGTCGTCGATGGCCGTGCCAGTGAAAACGCTTGAAGTGGCCAGCCAGCAAGCAAACAAATCAAGGGTCGAACTGGGCGGATGGGTACATCGTTGCGATGCATCCACGGGCAATGGTGTCAAGGCCCGGCGCAACATACACCTCGTCAGCAGCGACGGCCAGGTGGTTGTTGTAACGATGTGGGGCAAGGCAGCCGCGTTCCACCTGGATGACGCGGCTTACGTCCGCATCATGGGGGCCAGTGTTGACCGTGGGAACAGCAAATTCAGTCTCAACGACGATGGCGCTGTCAGCGTTGACCATGATATGCCAGAGTCACCCTCGAGGAAGCGTCGGAAGCTTTTTTGGGGGGAGTGATGGCGTGGACTCTTCCGCAGCAACATTCAGTGAGGCCGTGCCAGGTGCGAGGTGGTCATCGCCGTCCGCGAGACGTTCTTCAACATGTGAAACTGTTCGGAGCGGCGCCGCCGATGAGAGCAGAGAGGATGGCAGCAGCGGGGTGGACGTAAGGTCTGGGTGGAAGGGGGGGGGGGGGGCGCGAGGAGGAGACAAGGGAAAGCAGCAGAAGGGAGGAAGGGGGTGATGAGGAGGTCCATGTGGACGGATGCAGTCGAGCATGCTCTTTGCGACCTGCAGCGCCCGCGAGCCCGAGTTTTTTTGGCGAGCGGTTCGGGGCCATCTCGTGCGGGGCCAAGGGTGCTCCCGGGGTGGCCTGTCCATGTTTTCGCTATGCTCTGCGTGCGCCTGCGTATTGCTCGGAGTTCCTCGCGCGGCTTGCGCTGCATGCGCATGTTGCAGAAGGCCGCCGCGTTTAGAATTTCCCCACGTGGCGCGACGCGCTAGGGCGGAGCATGACCCAGGGGCGCGCGGGGAGGGGGGGGGGGCGGAGGGGCATATAGCGGAGGTGGTGGAGGGCGCAAATGGATGGGCAGGAAACCGACGCAAACGTCTGTCGCATCACATCTGCGCAGTGCCACCGAGAGCGAAAGTACAGGAGAACTTCTACTCACGCGGGCCCCAGGATCCATGACGATTGCTTCAATTCTTTCGGGCGAGCGGGGGCGGGATAGGGAGGGGGGCGATTTGGCGAGGAGGGGGAAAATATTGGCAGAGGAGCGCGGCGATCTTCCCGAACTCTGTCGCGCCTGTCCACTGAGGCACGTTGTTTTTTTTTTCCCAGGGTTGTGCGAGCGGCTGGAAGGACCTCGTGCGGGGCTAACAGAGCTCCCGAGGTAACCGGCCATGGCCTCATACGTGTGACGGTAGTCATGCCTCTTCCTCCCCCTCCCCCACCCATCCCTCTTCTCTCGGCCCTTCCCGCGCCGCCCTCTGCTGTCGGCCCTCTCCGTGCCACTCCTCCTCCTCCTCCCCCGCCCATCCCTCTTCTCTTGGCCCTCCCCGTGCCACTCTCTTCTCTCGGCCCTCCCTGTGCTCTCCCTCCTCCCCCTCCTCCTCCTCCCTCACCCATGCCTCTTCTCTCGGCTATCACCGTGCCATTCCCCCTCCCCCCCCCCGCCCATCCTTCTTCTCTCGGCCCTCCCCGTGCTACCCTCTTCTCTCGGCCCTCCCCGTGCCACTCCTCCCCCTCCCCCGCCCATCCCTTTTCTCTCGGCCCTTTCCGTGCCGCTCTCTTCTCTCGGTCCTCCCCGTGCCACTCCCCTTCCTCCTCCCCCGCCCATCCCTCTTCTCTCGGCTCTCTCCGTGCCACTCCTCCTCTTGGCCCGGAAAACATCCTTGAAACATATGTCAAGGCCTGGCTCCAATGCACCCGCAGAGCCTGGTGCCCAAAACATCCGCGAAGCACTGCCTGTAAAGCACGTTCAAACCCCGGCCGTGAAAACGCCCCGAAAACCCGGGCTCTGGACGCAACTTTGAGGTGCCGTTTGGTTCTGGACCGTTGGAATTGTGTGTGCTAGCTTTTCCATTCTGGGCCCTTGCAGGGCTCGTCTGGATATGTTCTTCGTTTATCGTCAGCATGTTATGGGTTGTCTGTTTTTCTGGGGGCTGCCCAGGTGGTCGTCCAGGCTCGCAAGAGGAGGCGTAGAGGGTGCGTATAGAAGTTCCAAATGGGCACGTGGGACTGCACCCTCAGGAACCGCGCGCAGCCCCTCGGGGCACCAGGCTGGCGGGGGGTTAGGGCGGGGCGAGCTGGCGATGATCAATCACCCATTTTGAAGAAACCCGCATCCTCTCCAACATGCAAGGGCCGCGCAAGTTCGACGGGGGATCATGTAAGACATGCCGCGCGTCATACCGCAAAGTCGTGCAGCGAGAGTGGGCTCAAGGGTTCCACCTTACCATCGATTCATACAATCGGAGGTACTTTTCGCTACCGTCGACTTATTCAGAGGGACGGGCATGAACGGCTTTGCGCACGGGCTGTGCTCCGCGCGCATGCCGCAGAGTGCCCTGGCGGAGTTGAAATCCACAATTCCCCAGCTCTGCGCCCCGGGAAAGGGTTTCCTTGCTGGCGACGTCGCCGCAGAGCCTGATGTTCTTGATAAACGCGTTGCGTACTTGGCATTGTGCTTCGGTGCACCGGATTTGAGCGAGTACGTCAGCGGAGTGATCTTGGACTGGGAGATGCTCTTCCGAAATGACGCAACCGGGAAGCCGATAGTCAGCGTCATTACTGGGAATGGCATGGTTCCAGGTACCAAGGTGGACAAGGGCTACAACAAGAAGGGCATGTGGAACACTAGCGTCGGGCCATTGGGCCAGCCCGAAGTGCGTGCCGTTGGGCTCAATGACCTTCAGGAGAGATGCGCTGAAGCGTATGCGAAGGGAGCTCGTTTCGCCAAGTGGCGCGACGTCCTCCAACTCCACTTCGAGGAGGGGTTGCCAAGTGGCGTTGCCATTGCCACCCTGGCGCGCACCCTGGCGCGCTACGCTTCCATTTGCCAGAGTGAGAAATTGGTGCCTATCGTTGCAATTGAGGTTTTGCCCGAAGGAGAACACGACATTTCTTATTGCTCGGAAGTGACCGAGAAAGTGTTGGCAGCCCAGTTCAAGGCTTTCGCAGATCACCACGTTTACCTGGAAGGCTGCCTCCTGAAGATGAACATGGTGAAAAAAACGGTGTTGCGGGCACAACGGCTGACGCTGAAACAATCGCAACGCTCACAGCGCGGGCGCTGCGTCGCACAGTGCCTCCAGCGTTGCCGGGCATTTTCTTTGGGTCACGCGAGACTGGCCTGGAGCAGGACGGCGAGGAAGTAGCTACCATGTACCTGAGCACGATGAACAAGCTGTTCAGGGACAAGTTGCCCTGGCTCCTCTCCTTTTCGCATGGCGAGTCTTTGCAGAAGACACACTTCGAGACCTGGCCTCGCCAGGAGAAGATCAAGGATGATGCTCGGATGGCGCTAATAGCGAGGGCCAACGCAAACTTCGACGCAGTCATGGGCAAGTGCACAGTGGAGAGGGGTTCAGACGAGGCGGCCGCCGAGCGGCGCAAAATCAACGCGTCCTCGCGGCAGTCGGGCACGCACGGGCGCGAGCTGCTGCAGGGAGAGGCCGCTTGCATCGCCGCAGTCAGGACGTCAGAACTCTCAGCAGAGCCCGCCCCGAGCACGCCCGACATGGTTTTTGATGCTATTGCCTGCGGCGTCCCGTCGTATGTTGCGATGCCCTTCCATGGGTCCTTTCTGGTTTCCTGGGCGTGCTCAGGGGTCCAGAGTGGCCGAAGAGCACTTCGAATGGCGTAGGGGGCCCCCAAGGCCGCCCTCCACTCCCGGACAGAACTCCAGGGCTTGCGCATGCAATTAGATTCCGGTGGGATTCACTTGCGAGGTTTTTCTCAAGACACCTCTGGCGCTTTCATGCGTCGGAAGACACTGCCGAGCAGAATGCTGTGCTAAGGCGCATCTTGAAGGAGATGTTGGGCCCCGACGTTGCGTTGCAATGACACCGAGCGTTATCATGGGGGAGTGACCCGTGTCAGTAGAAGTTTTTAAGGGGAGGATGTTCTCGGCTTGGAGGTTGATGCGACCTTGGCTCGAGAGTCTGATTCCGGCTCGGGGGCATGTTGGGGAGGGGGAATGGGGGGTGGGGGAGGGGCACCGAGCCAGCCTTTACGGATGTTTCAGAGCAAGAGCAAGTTTTAAGGATATTTCAGAGCCCGAGCGGTCTAGTGGACCTCGTGTGGGGCCAACAGTGCTCCCGGGGTGATCGAATAGGGCTCTCTACTTGTCGTCGGTCGTTATGTTGTTTGTAGACCGCTCCTGGCATACTCAGTGCGACCGCTGCGGTAGCTCCTCGTGCGGAGCAACCATGCTCCCGAGGTAACATATCGTTGTCGGCTGGACTGGGGGGGGGGGGGGCACGGAGAAATGCGTCAGTCGCAGGCGGGCGCCGAAAGTTGGCGCTCCGGATTGCGAAGGGGTCGTTCGGGCCCACGGTCGTTCCCCCATATGCGAAGCTACACAAAAAAACTGTTGTTCGCCAGCGCAGCTATACAGAAAAGGTTGTTCCTCTATCAGCGAAGCTATACAGAAAAGATCAATGCAAAAAAGTCGCTCCTCCGTTAGCGAAGAGAAAAGCTCGTTCTGCTACCAACGAAGCAATGCAAACCAGTTTTTTGCCCCGCCATCAAAGATAGGTGAACATGGGCGTTGCTCAGCCAGCGAGGCTATCCAGCAACGATTATCCCTTCCATCTTTGGTTATATTGGGCCAATTTGCAGCCATCTTGGGCAATCTATGGTTCGTTTGGAGCCATCTTGGGCCAAAAAAGGCGCAGTGGAAGGAGGAATAAGATGAGGAGGGGGAAGAAGAGGAGGAGGATCATGGCGAGTTTGGGGGCTTCTTGGGCCGTTTTGAGGGCATGTTGGCGGTCTTGGGGGCCTTGCGTATCTCGGGAGGCCTCTTGGGGCCTCTTCGGGGTTTCTGGGGAGCCTCTTGGAGGCCTTTTGGGCGCCTCTTGGGGCATCCTGGGACCCTCTTGGGGCGCTCTTGGGGCGCACTTGGGAGCTTTCCAGGCGCTCTTGAGGCCATCTTGGAGGAGATCTATCAAAGAAGGGGGGGTCGCTAATTCTAGACGCTTCGCGTATCCCACCAGCCCGTCCAGAAACGACGCCCAGGCGAGTAGAGGGTCGTCCTGAGGGGCTTTTCGGCGTCTTGGGTGCCTCGGGGGGGCCTATCTGGGCCGTTCGGGATCCTCTTTGGGTCCTCCTGGGGGCCTCTTGGGGCCTCTTGGGGCCATCTTGGGGCCTTTGGGGGCCTCCTGGGCGCTTCTTGGGGCCTCCTGGGCACTTCTTGGGTGCCTCTGGGGGGTCTCTTGGGGCCTCTTGGGGGTCTCTTGGGGGCCTCCTGGGGGCCTCTTGGGGGGCTTCGGAGCCATCTTGGAGGAGATCGATCAACGAAGGGGGGTCCCCTAATTACAGCCCCCCCCCTCAGGAGCCACGATCCTCGTGAGGGGTGTCAAATTTTAGCCCTCCCAGGGGTCGATCTTGGGCGCTCCAACGCGCCGCGGAACCCCCTGTCCAGGTCAGTGGGGAGGGGGTGGGGGGAGGGGTAAACCCCTCCCCGAAGGGGAAGACGGAGGGGTGGAAGAGGAAACTCGTTAAACCACCGCCGCCCAAAGGGCTGGTGGGATTGCCGCTGCCCCTCGAGAGTGCTTCGAATCGCCTTTTGGGTCTTCTCGAGGCGGTTTTGGAGCGCTCCTGGGCGCTCTTGGGGCCGTCTTGGAGCTCTCTTGGGCCTTTTTTGGAGCCTTCTTGGGCCCTCTTGCAGCTGTTTTGAGGCCTCGGAGGCTTGGTTACACAGCAGAGCATGTCTGTGGCATCGCTCTGTCCCGCCGCTATTTTTCCCACGCTAGGTTTTCGTCGTGTCGACCAACGGCGACCCCGCCGCCGGCGTTCAAGGTTGAGCGCCAGCGGCGGCCCAACGTTGAACGATCCGGCGCTTTGGAAACGGCCGATCGTCCGAGGTTGAACGATCTCCGCGGTGTCAGGAACCTACGCTGGGGTCGACACGACGCGAACCCGCCGTGCGCAGGCCCAGAGGCGCACGGCGCGTGCGAGGTTCTTTCTATGAGCATTGAACAGAGGGGTGTGATGAACGTGCGGAGCTGAGAATGATCGATGACGAGAGCTTGCGTTGGGCCTCGTTCTCCAAGTTACGCTGGCCGGTGACCCCTGCTGGCTCGCAATGTTTCCCGGTGCCGTACTTCACGTTGCGGCTTCCGATATTGCATTTTGATGCGCGCGCATGTTCTGTTGTGCTCGTGTGAGGAGGAGGGGGGCGGGAGGGCAAGGCAGGGGGGGCGGGGAAAGACTAAGCAAATTGCGAGGACGTCTCAGGGGAAACCGGACCCAAACCAAGCCAAACCAGGAGCCAAACCAGGCCGATTGCGAGGATGACGAAGGCGGAGCGCGCCATCAAACCAGGCAAAACCAGATGCCAAACCAAGCCAAACCAAGAGTCAAACCAGGCAGATTTTGAGAACGTCCTGGGCATAATCGCTCCAACCAGGCTCCATCCAGTCTTCTTAATGATAGTTATTCTTGACGCTTCGCGTAATTCCACCAGCCTTCCCAGAAATGATTGCCAGCTCTCTTGAGGTTTGTGGGAAGCTATCTGGAGCCATGCTCGGCAAGAGGCCGCGAACGGGCGGTGCGCAGGCCCAGTGGCGCACGGCGCGTGTGAAGTTCTTTCTATGAGCATTGGACAGAGGTGTGTGATGAACGTGCGGAGCTGAGAATGATCGATGACGAGAGCTTGCGTTGGGCCTCGTTCTCCAAATTTCGCTGACCGCTGACCTCTGCTGGCTCGCAATGTTTCCCGGTACCGTACTTCACTTTGCGGCTCTCGATATTGTATTGTGATGCGCGCGCATGTTCTGTTGCGCTCGTGCGAGGAGGAGGGGGACTGGAGGGCGGGGCAGTGAGAGCGGGGAAAGACTAGGCAAATTGCGAGGACGTTTCAGGGGAAACCGGCCCAAACCAAGCCAAACCAGGAGCCAAACCAGGCCGATTGTGAGGATGTCGAAGGCGGGGCGCGCCATCAAACCAGGCAAAACCAGGTGCCAAACCAAGCCAAACCAAGAGTCAAACCAGGCAGATTTTGAGAACGTCCCCGGCAGATGCGCCCAAAGCAGGCTCCACCCACTCTTCATACAGTTCAATACATGCAAAGTTCAATGCGACAGCGTTCTTCCACCGTTAGCGAAGCTATAGAGGAAATGCGGTTCCTTTACCAGCCAACAACTATGGGCATATAATTGTATTGCCAAGCCAGCGAGGCTATCCAGCATCGATTATTCTTTTATCAGCCAGACCATACAGAAGAGACTGTCATTCCGCAGCCGAAGCTATCTCGCGTTGGAGTGGGAAAACCGTGGTCCAGTCCCCCCTGTGGGCGAGCTTCCTCGTTCTCTTCCTCCCCGCCCCTCCCCCCCCCTCCATCTGGGGAGGTACTCCCAGCCATAGTGGCTTCAAAACGTTTCTGCTGGCGCACCCATGCGGCCGTTTTCCATCATCGCGAGCACTCACCAAATTGGAGCATGGCATCGGGATGCCTTGCCGTGGAAGCTGCCCGGGGCGATGGCGGATTTCGAGCGGGCCACCGCAGCCTCGCCAGGGGAAATTGGCAGGGGTGGCACCGGGTGAACGCCACACCAACCAGATGACGAGTGTGTTGCTACCCAGTAGCAGCCTCTACCGAGGTTCGCACCGCCGCCGCTTGATTCGTGTCGAAGTCTTTGGCGTGACGTCAGCGAGGGAGATGTTGGGACGGTCTTCGTACTTATCTTTGGCTCCTAGGTATTATGATCGCCGTTATTATGGATCAGAGTACATGGGAGTCCGTTCCGAGGACGTGTAGGTCTCTGCTAGGACGGGTGGGCGTTGTGATGACGCACAGCATGCCCGAGGCCTCCATGCATCGCTATGACCATGAGAATATGGTGATCACCGCGTCGGTCGCGAACGCGGTGAGCGAGCTGGCCCTGCGAGAGGATGTGGCCGATATATTCGTGATTGGAGGACCGGCAGCTTATGAGGAAACGTTGGAACTGCCGAACTGCCATAACATGTTCATGATCCACGTTCGCGGGGAGATCGATTGCCGCGTTGCTTTCCCCGCTCCGGATATTTCCAAGTCTGAACAGGCGCACTTCATGAGCGCGGCCACCCACTCAGACTCACAGGGCGTTCTCATCGTGTACGAGAGAGAGGTGGTGGCCCGGGCGATGCGCACGTTGCCTGGCGAGGCTGTCCCAATTTCCTTCCCCGCGCCATGTGCACTCCCAGGTTCCTCCTGTGTTTTGCCGCTCCTCCCTCCGACCATGTTCCCTGTTTGCGCAGTGGCCCGCCTTGCATAGTGCCGCCCCTTTGCAAGCTCCTGTTTTCCTCTTCCCCTCCATCAGCATATTCCGCTTTCGGATAAGCGGGCTGCCAGGGCCCCCCGGGCGATTTTAACACTGAGCGGAGTTGTCGGTCATGGACTCCTCCTGTCCTGCCATTCCCCCTTTCTCGTCCACCTGCGCCCTTATGCGTGCTCGTTTGTTGACTCCCTCAACGCGGCCAAGCAAAGAGGG